AAAATGCACGCGTCCGAAAGTGTGTTGACCAAGGGCAGTGTATCATAACATACATGCATGCAAGTAAGCCCCCCCCCCCCCCCCAAAGAATCCTCGTGAAAAACAATGGCGTTTCTGGCGTTCTGTCGGCAAATCCAGGAGCTGAGGACGGCGGGAAGTCTGGACGAGGCACCGTGGCCAGCTTTGTACCAGAGGAGATACCCCAAGTCTTGGTGGTACCACCAGAAGCTGTGCTTCGAGAAGAAGTCGATGCTGATGCTGAGGGACAAGCCGTACATGAAGAGTCAGATCATGAGCGCGCTCGTCATGGGTGAGTTTTTTGCTGGGCGAAAAATCTGCCGAAAAACTCGGTTCACGAACGAACGTGTAAGAAGGATCCGAAAGAAGGCAGTCTCTTCGCGTGTCCGTCTGCGTCCGTCCGTAGTCCGCGGAGAAGAAGCAGGAACGAAAAATGTTACTGTTGTTGTTGTTGTTGTTGTTGTTGTGGTTGTCTTGACAATAATAACCGTTCCGGTCTGCTCAGTACCTTCGATTATCCGTACCGGTCTCACTTACGAGGACGACTTTTCGTGGTTACAGGCCAACCACCAATAAAGGGTACACATTTTCTAAACATGACATCAAATGCGACAGTAAATAACGAATTGCACTCGTTGTCGCCACTTTTTCAGGGCTGATCGTGGGATCCATCTTCTACGACCTCGGCCTCTCCGACGCCAATGCCAAGTTCGGAGTGAGTGTTTAGTGCTTAACCGATCTCGATGTCGTTGACTAGCTAGAGGCATGCGAGCAGGCCACCACCGCGTTATCTTAGGGCAGTGCTGGAGTATTCTGGATTCGGATGTGCCTAGTCTGCATGGGGGTACTCATTTGAACGCATGCCCTAGCCGTTAGACCATTGGCCTCGCATCTCTACCATGCCGGCCCTACCATGCCGGGACGGAGCGATATGCCGGGTTTTCGCCGGCCCAGGCTACGTTTCACAAGGATGGATGAAAAAATTGGCCATTATCCTGCGTGCCAAACCATGGGGGGGGGGGCATAGGCTGTGCCTTCCTCCAGCACTACAACGTGCGGTGCCTTCCTCCACGCGTACCTTTGGTGATCGCGCCTCTGCTACTACACTAATAACAGAAGGAAGGGCTGGTTCGTATTTACGTCCGACCCGGTTAAAATGTTTCGTGACCCCTGATTTTGGGATGGATGTCGTCAATGCCTGGCGTGGTTGTGTTTATTGCTTGTGCGTGTTTCCGTAGGCTCATGTATTTTCTTGGTCACAACGGCAAGTTTATTTTCCTTGTCCTCGTACCCCTTCTCGAGGTATATATGCTTACAAGAAATGTTATTTCCTGTCGTTCGCTTAGATTTTGAGCCAACTCCCCTCCCTCTTCCCTTCCACGGACGACGCCTTTTTCACGTGCCACCCCATGCTGTTGTGTTTTTGCGCTTGCAGCTCATCTTCTTCTCCCTGCTCTTCCTGTCCATGTCGGGAATGGCCCAGGTGGGTGCGATTGTCCTTCTTTCGGTCGGCTTGAAAGCACGTCCTCGAGAGAAAAACACACGTGTTCCCATTTCCGAATGTCCTTCTTCTTTCCTTTTTCGGAGTAATGTAGTGCCGATCGATGGCTCGACTTGCGCTGCAAGAATGACCAGACTCGGCAGCATCGAAAGCTTAGTTTTGGTTGTTCGTCCGTCTTCGGGGCAATGCGTTTCCAACCCTCCAATATTGTCAGTCTTGATCCCCATTCATTGCCCACGCATCAATTCCAGCCAAAAAATAATTACCCAGAGTGTTTTCCATCAACACCGACGCTGTTTTCGAGACGTTTTCTTGGCGTTTTATTGTTCGTACCAGTTGTTCAGCTATGAATGTCGTGCACCCGAGCCGAGGTTGTGGTAGTGACGTCGACCCTGGCTTTGCCTCGCAGTGCTTGTGTCGGATGTCCATACCGCCGTAGCTTACGTATGACACTTGATGTGCCTGTTTCTGCTGTATCGGTAGCCGTGGTCGTACCCTTGTTTTGTCCTGCCAATTGTTTCTGCTGTATCGGTAGCCGTGGTCGTACGCTTGTTTGGTCCTGCCAATTGTTTCTGCTGCATCAGTAGCCGTGGTCGTACGCTGTTTTGTCCTGCCAATTGTTTCTGCTGCATCAGTAGCCGTGGTCGTACGCTGTTTTGTCCTGCCAATCGTTTCTGCCGTGTTGGTGACCGTTGTCGTGCCCGGTTTTTGTCCTGCCAACAAACAACACCCGCAAAATCATGTTTTGTTGGGCAGGACAAAACAAGGTACGACAACAAACGGTCACCGACGACACAGCGGAAACAAAAATATGCGGCAGTGTCACATCCTATTGTGGTCCGTGCATCTGACACGAAAGAACAACACCCGCACAATTAAAACCGAAAGCGGAAAACGTGCGGCACGTGACTGGATGTTGTACTACTGGCACTCTTGCCCAATCGTTTGCAGATCCCGGGGGCCATCGAGCGGAGGGGGGTGTTCTACAAGCAGAGTCAGGCCGGCTTCTACCCCACCTCGTGCGAAGTCGTGGCGGACACGCTCGTCAACACTATTCTCACGGTACGAAGGCATACAGTATCATCAGAGGAAGCCGGATCATACCATTGTTATTCTACTGTAGCAAGGACCCACGACTATTGTAACAAACTTTTATGGACGTCATTCCAGATACCTAACCCCTTCAATTATGTCGTCGTGAAACCGTCGTCAACGGTTGTGAAACCGTCGTGAAACGGTGGTGAGACGGTCGTGAAACCATCGGGCAACCGTTGTGAAACGGTCGTGAAACCGTCGTGAAACCGTTGTGAAACCGTCGTGAAACCGTCGTGAACCCGTTGTGAAACGGCCGTGAATCATTGTGAAACCGTTGTGAAACCGTCGTGAAACCGTCGTGAAACCGTCGTGAAACAGTCGTGAAACCGTTGCGAAACCGTTGTGATACCGTTGTGAACCGGTCGTGAAAGCGTCGTAAAACCTTCGTGAAACCGTCGTGAAACCGTCGTGAAACCGTTGTGAAACCTTCGCGAAACGGTCTTAAAACCGTCGTGAAACCGGGGTTCGATGTCTCGCAGGTGGTAGCGTCCATCATCTTCGCCCCCGTGGTCTATTTCCTCGTGGGATTCAGCACCTCCGACAATGGCGCAAGGTTCTTCACCTTCATGGTCATCGGTATGTTTGAAAACCCATCTGTGAGATGGATTTGTTGTGTTCTTCGTAAGAAAAGAAGATAAAATAACGTACAAGTGTGGATAGAGCAGGCTTCAATATACCTATTTAGCCCTAGGTGGTGCCGTCGAGGCCATGCGGTCGGGAGGTGGAATTGTTTTTTCGTCGGCGAGGTGGGCGCTTTTTTCTTTTCCTTCCAAAATGAAATAGACTCGTCTCTTCTTTCACATGCCGTAGATGCCGAGAAAGCGACGTTTTTTCGTGAGTAGATGTGAAGACAATAACAACAACAACAACAACAACAACAACAACAACAATAACAATAACAACAACAACAACGGCGGTGAAATTGTCTTGTTTGCTCCCTTCTCACTTGTGGCAGTGATCGTGACGAACGTGAACGTCACCCAGTACTTCCGGTTCTTGGCGGCGTTCATGCCCAACTTCACGCTGGCACAGGCAAGAAGAACAGTAGTAGGGTTAGGGTTAGGGTTGGTTAGGGTTAGGGTTAGGGTTAGGGTTAGGGCTAGCAGCCTTCACGGGCAAGAACAGTAGCAGCCTTCACAGGCAAGACACGTATATATTAGTAGCCTTCGCAAATTTTCATTATGCGAACGTATTGGATATAGTAAGATATCGGTGGGATTTCAAAGGGGCTACGGTATATTGTTAGGTGTTATGTTTACGAAACCCGCGCATCTCTTTTCCTTAGAACAAACTTCAATTCTTCGCTTACCACTTAGGCAGTCCGGCAAGAACCGCATTTCGAAACCAGCGAGCACGAGCTAACCGGTACGGACAAAATGATATTCTTTCTGATCGAAAATAAGTTGCCGGTATGGACAAAACTTGTTCCTGCGCCGCGGTGTTTCCCCTCATCGTGCTCTTTCCCGCCCCGTTGTGTTGCTGCTCATCAATGCCATTTCCAGGGGTTTGCGGGTCTGAGCGTCCTCGTCTGCGTGCTCTTCTGCGGCTATCTTATCCCCGGCGCCGATGTTCCCGCTTGGTGGATATGGGTGAGCAATTAATTTAGCGACCGAAACCAAACCATCCTATCATTTGACTGGTCCTACGGTTCCTTCGGCTGACTGGTCTGAGGGTTCGATGTCGGTTTCTAACGCAACCACTGGCTGTCAGCTAGCCGTGCAGTAGCGGGCGGCTGCCGACAACGAACTCTTAAGCCCGCTCAAGATAACGGACGTACAAAATCGCCACGAAAACGCGAGTACAGCTCTAGTACCGTTTTAGGCAAGGTGTACGCCGGCTGGTCTTCAGAAGCGCAATGGTTGGTATGAGTCGTTTCCGTGTACGCTGGCTTTTTGCAGTACTTGGTTGCTTCTGGCCCATGGTGCACCGGTTGAGTTGTTCATGTCCATGAACGTGCTGCTGCACCCATTCCACTTCGGCCGTGACATACAAGTTTATAATCGCTGCCGGCAGCGATCGCGGAAGCAGCGGCGGCCACGGCCAAAATATGGGACTCGTCAAGTTCAGAACACTGTACATTAGCCCGTCGTTTTAGGGCAACCCCCTCTCTGTCCTCGTGTGCGACTCTCTTTGGTAAATAAAGTCTAGGACGGGTTTCGTTCCCTTGCAACCGTTCCATGTGAACCCTTCTAGACGGGTTTTGTTCCCTTGCAGGCGTTCCATGTGAACCCTTCTAGACGGGTTTTGTTCCCTTGCAGGCGTTCCATGTGAACCCTTCTAGACGGTTTTCGTTCCCTCGCAGGCGTTCCATGTGAACCCTTCTAGACGGGTTTCGTCCCCTCGCAGGCGTTCTACATGGACTCTGCTAGTAACAATATGACGGTAGAAGTCGTTTCGTTTCAGGCGTTCCATGCAGGCGTTCGTCCTTCTAAGACGGTTTGCCGTTCCCTTGCAGGCGTTCCATGTGAACCCTCTCACGTGGGCGTTCCGGGCTGCCGTGCTGAACGAGTTCCAGTCTCCGGAGTATGAGGACACGTGCGGGGCCCCGGACTTAGCGGAGGGAGCTGCGTGTCCCGTTTCGCTTGGACAGGTGGGTTTTGGTTCCTGATGATGCTTGTGCTGTGGTTGTTGTCGTCGTTGCTGTTGGCGGTGTTGTTCTTGCTGCTGCTGCTGCTGCTGCTGCTGTTATTGCTGCTGTTGTCGTTGTCGTCGTCGATGCGTATGCATATTCGTTTTGTTCTGCCAAGTTTTGGTCGCGGTAATAAATACTATGGACGTGACGACATGTCAAGCGTTAGAGTTAGAAGAACATCTCGACGATGACCTTCGCGGTTGTTGTTGTTGTTGTTGTTGTTGTTGTTGTCTTTACATCACAAACCGTTCCGGTCTCCGCTCAGTACCTTCTGACATCCGTACCGGTCCAACTGACGCGGACACCTTCCATTGTCATGGGCCATCTACCCAGAAAGGGTACACAATTCTAGAAATCTCATGGGTTTCCTGGAGACGACATCATCACGTGCTGTCGTTTGGTATTGACGGGTTGGCGGATACCGTGGGACTATTTTTGGTAAGAAGAGAGCACTACAAACATTGTCTGCAATGCTGACCGTCTTTCCCATTGATACGTCACCTTCTTGTTTGTGTGTGTTGCTTGGCAGGTTTACATCGATGCCTACGGGTTTGAGGACGACAAGGTCTACATTTGGGGCGGCATTGCGTTCATTTTCGTGGAGTTTTTGCTCTGCGCCGCGTGAGTTCCGAAAGGATGGTCGCTCGTCCTTGTTGTCGTTGTTGTTGTTGTAGCTGCACCCGACACCGAGCCGTGGCGTTCTCTGGTGTGTCGCCACCACGTCCTCGGAAAACCTTTCCTTTCGCACGTCCGAGTCATCATGGTTTGGTTGCATCGCTTCTTCTCCACCCTATTACTACCAGCCTTGAACCACTCTTATTCCTTGATTTGGTACTCAACGCTGCTGCTGTTCCAGGGCCACCGGCATGGCGTACCAGTTTATCCAGTGGGACTCCTCGGACAGCGTTCCCATTGCACCCGGCACCGCCGCTGACGAAGATGGCGCTGGGGGCCCGGAGAATAGTGAGTCATTTGTCGTGTCCTGTACGGCGCTATTTTTTTTCCATTTTATTGGCGTGGTCACGGGTTGGAGCTCCTACCCGACAGAAATGCTGTGTTTAGCCAATGGGTGAGCGCGGATATAGTAAAGTGAGGGAAACAATAAAACTGCTTTTGGTCTCGCCGCGAAGAAGCGCGTTGGTCACACAGAGTGGCCGGTTCCTCGATAATGTCGAGTGCCCGGTACATTGTGCTGGCACTGCTCTTTATCCGGTGTAGTACCAGTACCGGCACTGTAGGGGCGTGCCCCTTATGATGCCGGGCGGAGCAAAGTTGACCAAACATGAACTCGTTACAATGTTCCAGTAGGCTCTATGGCAATGTTTTTTTTTCTTTTTGTCTCGCCTGCTTCCCCCTGTACCTCAATGCGATTTTCCGTTTGGCACCCTCTTTTTGTTTTCAGTGAGTGTCGAGCAGTTCAACGCCCCGGTGGGGAAGCTGAAGCGGCAGGCCTCCCAGCTGGAGGCAGACCTTCCTTTCGAGCCCGTGACAATGACTTTCAGGTACGGAACAGATAATTTATCGCATGCAGTAGGCCTGGTACGTACTACTGTGGCTGCCAGCTTCAGAGGGAGACGTGAGAAGGACCGCCGCGGAGGTCAAGAAGACAGCCCGCGGTCCTTCGCTTGCGCCCACGTTTTTTTTTGCGTGGACCGCGCTGTTTTATGGGGGGGGGGCGGTGCCAGGCGGGAACAAAAAGGGTATGTTCTGGGGTGTTTTTTGTGTCAAGTGAACGGAGATACTGTGGTTAGAAAATATAGCCCACATGAAACATTGGTAGCCTCTAGCCATGATTGTTGGGCTCAACGCACAAACAGTGGTGGTATCGACCGACCCGACCGACCATGTAGATGGGTCGCTGAAATCCCTTGTTCTCCACTTCTGCATCATTAGCGGTTTCATACCCCTTTAGGCCGCCTTGACTCTTAGTGTCATCCGTTGTTGTTGCTTTTTCCTCAGTCGAAGCATCGCCTTCGCTGAGCTCGTTTCTTGTGCTGAGCTCGTTCCTTCTGCCCCAAAGAACGCTTCTTTGCCCTACCGTGCACCCTCTCTTACTGTCTCACCGTGTCGATAACACTTGCACCGCCGCCTTGTTCCACCGCGTCTTTTGGCCGAACGGCTTTTGTCCTCAGCGACGTTTCGTACAGCGTGCCCCACCCCTCCGGAGACGGCAACCTGGAGCTCCTCTCAGGAATCTCCGGATTTTGCAAGCCCGGCGAGGTACGCGATCTCTGACATCGACCCAAGTGTTGCTTGCCAGCCTTGTTTTGTGTTACGTTGATATTTCGAGGTAGGTTGACGTCTTCAATACCTAGGCTGCAAAGTTCCGTGTGCACTCTGGTGTTGGTGTCAAGGTGCAATGTGAATGCTCGAAAAGGCTTCATGACGCAGTGATGGTTGCAACGACTGGATGATGCCGGTTTTGCTTCCTGCACCTCTGATAACCGTTTCGTCCTCGTAAACCGCCGACGCAAAAAAAAAGCGCGGATGCTCAAAGAGCATTAGCCCGTTACCAGATGTCACCCCCCACGGCATGCTCCGCCCTCTCGAGGGCGCGTGGTCTAACATTAAAGGCATGGAGAACATGAGTACGCCTCCCCCGGTTCCTTGTTTTCAAGATGACGGCGTTGATGGGTTCCTCTGGCGCCGGAAAGACTACGCTGCTCGACGTGCTAGCCGGCCGCAAGACGGGCGGAACGATCACCGGTGATATCCGCCTCAACGGCCACCCGAAGCAACAGAAGACCTTCACTAGGTACAGTATGCTTCAAGGGTTGTTGCAGCTGGCCTCGTCCAGCCTACTACGGCGTGCGGGGGTGAGGATTTGTTTGTTTCTCCGTATTCAGTCTATCTCATGCGCGACCGCTTTAAAATCCCGTGCCCTCATTCACTCCGTACCACAGTCATCACCCTTTTGGCCGCTTCTATGCTGTTTCGAACGGTGTTGGGGGGTCGCCTTGAGCAAAGACAGCGCCACCCTGTGCCTCTCAGCAACAGGATAGGAATGTTCATTTTGCCTTCGTTTTTTCCTATGCTACAGTGGGGGAAAATCAGGTTCTCACTCGCGCGGATGTCAGGGTCTCGCGATGATTGTTTCGACACTGCGGCCTGCACGACGAGGAATATCCAACAAACTCCCTCGCCCCGTGCGATTGTGTTGTTTTCCCGTGTGCTCTGTCGGCCAGGGTTGCTGGCTACGTGGAGCAGCAAGACATGCACTCAACGGTTGTGACGGTGAAAGAGGTACGGTGGAAACGGGGGAGACACATTGCAGGCTTCGTTGGAGTTGCGTCCTTGAGGGAATCGAAATGAACCTGCAATCGAACCAACAATTCTCCAAATTCGATTCATGGGTACATCTCGGAGCCCCTGCCCATGTAGGCAATGTGCACAGACCGCCACGCATGCTAAACTGTCCCTGCCGGCAGACGTACTGACAGGGACGTTGGCACCTTGAATGATCCGCGCGAATGGAAGCATTGTGACGTTGGTGCGGTGTTGCTTTGAGTGGGCTCATCTAGGCGTCACGCCTGTTAGTTGACGCAAACATGCTTTGCCATGGCTGATTTTTTCACACGGACGAGACCATGAGACCAAGTTTCTGCACACCCTTTCCGTAGGTGCGTATGTAGCAACGTTGATTCCCTTTGTCATGGAGAACGCCAGCCCCCGCCGATTTTGTGGCACTTTTTTCACTTCGCAAGGGTGATTATTCTGGGTGATTGTTTCGGTTTTTGTTTGTCGAACAGGCTCTCATGTTCAGCGCAACGATGCGGCTGGACAACTCCTCTGTCAACAAGAACCGCCGTGAGGAGTTCGTCGACAGCATACTCTCGGTGAGCTTTCTTTCTCTTCGCCTGCATCGTCAATGAGGTGTTGCCTTGTGAATCGGTGAAGGTTTCGTGTGTCCCGGGAGGAAGGAGGCTGACCGTTGTGGCTTCCAGCTCGCGTCTCGTTTTCCGTCTACCGGACAACGGGATGAGTATGGTGCAAACGACTACAAGGAACGTAGAGAGAAAGCCCTGCCACCGGCGAAACAGATTGGTGGTGAAGGTAGTTGATTCTGTCGTGTAGGGGGTTGCACAGGAGATGTCCTCATCGACGCATTTTTCTTGATTTTTTCCACGCGCCTCCGCGACCCTCTGCCTCATCGGCAACTGTGCCAAACTTTTTTTGACCGGTTTACAAGCACTTTCCAAGCAGGCTCAGTCAAGTCCGACCTACCTGTATTATGACTCCCGGGACCCACGGCCTGCCTTGTCTCGAGGCAAACACGACTTTTTATGCTTCTGTCCTCTTTTCTCGTCCCAGATGCTGGAGCTGGACGTGATCAGCGACCGGCTGATCGGCAGCGACGAGGAGGGCGGCTTGTCCCTCGAGCAGCGGAAGCGGACCACGCTAGGCGTTGAGCTGGCCGCGAACCCGAGCATCGTCTTCTTAGGTGCGTGCGACGACTGACGCCAAGCGCGCTACAGTACAACAATCGTTTACAGTTTTTCCGACAACCTCGCAACGAATAGTGGCACATGATACATGACACATGGTACAAATGCAGTAAAAGTAGCGGAGAATGCGTTGTGGCACATGACCCACCTGCCAAATCGCCGAGCAGCATGCTCTTTTGGATGGAATGAAGACCTCGAATCATGTTCTATCCGCATGTGAAAGTTCAGTATGGATTAGCGAAGAATCCGTCATGTTACATGATCTACCCGGGCTCCTTTTTTCCAATCCCCGAGCAGCATGCGCCGCATTTGGATGGAATGAAGGACTCGTGGCGGGCAACTACATTGCGAAGACCTCATCACTTTTTTTGTTCTTGTTTCTTACAGAGACAATATATATTGTGAACTGCAGGCACTGCAGGCTGATTGAACTTACGGGGGTCATCATCGACCCTCGGGTATCTTCGCTGCTGTAGCTCCTCTTTCCCCCCCCGAAAAAAAATTGGTTCCAGTATTCGCAACCCCCGTGCTTCAATCTGTCCCACGCGTTCCGCATAGAGTCAAGGAGGGGAAGGGGGCTCTTTCCCCAAGCAATGGCTTTGCAAGCCCGTTCGTGTGAATATTGGCCGTTCCTTTGAAGGTCCCCTTCTCTTCGCGTTGATCGTACGCGTAACGGGCGGCGATATATCAGAACCGCGAAAACAGTCTGGGGATTGAGTCACGTTCGGGCCGCCCTTCCCCCGTTTGACCGTCCGGGTCACAGGATTCGCATGCGGTGTCCCACGTGGACGGTTCTGAGTTTCAACCCCGGGTTCGGGTTGTGCGGTGCTTGCAATAAAAGTATCGAAGGGATGTTTTTGCCTTTGACCTAGGATTGGACGGGTTGGGTCATCTGTAATAGCAACTTTACGACCGCAGGGAGATTATTGAGCATTGGCAATGTTATGCACCGCAGTGTGTTTGACAAACGTCCAACGATACTTAGAGTGGTCCTCCCGTTCCTGTCCTTCCTCTTTTTGCCCGAGGATAATCGCAGATGAGCCAACGTCCGGCCTAGACGCTCGCTCGGCGCAGGTGGTGATGCGCGCCATCCGCAAGGTGGCCGCCACTCAGCGCGCCGTGATCTGCACCATCCACCAGCCGTCCACCTACCTGTTCGAGATGTTCGACGCGCTGCTGCTGCTCAAGAAAGGGGGACAGGTCGTCTTCTTCGGGCCTCTGGGAGAGAACAGCACAAACCTCATCTGCTACCTCCAGGTTAAAAAAGACGAACAATGATGGGTTCCTTGTTATTGCTTGATAAAGTTAGCATAAACAGTTGACAGGGGAGGAATAGCTACACAACCTCATCTGCTACCTCTAGGTTAAAAGACGAACAATGATAGGTTCCTTGTTGATGCTTGATAAAGAAGTATAAACAGTTGATGGTATTTTTCTGGGAGAAACAACTATAAAACCTCATCTCCTACCTCCAGGTCAAAAGGTGGACACCAATAGCTGCTCTTTCATCATGCTAGGAGCTACACGTGATGGTGTGGTCGTTTTGCTTGCTGCTATGCAAACGAAGACGATTCCTCCAATGTCACATGGTTGCGGTGGTTTTTCATTGCCCCCACTCCGCGCCCTCCCTCACACCTCTGCTGCTACCGCGGGCAATTGATTGGTTCTTGGTGTACAGTCCATCCCCAACACCGTTCCGATCCGTGATCACGTCAATCCGGCAACGTGGATGCTGGAGGTTATCGGTGCTGGCACCACCGGCAAGGTGCGTACCCCTGTACAATTTTTGCTGTTCTGGTTGGTAGTTGTCGTCGTTTTTTTTTTCTTGGAATTGTCGGTATTCGGCGTTCTGTTGATCATATCTACAGTCTCGACGAATTACCGGAAACGTGTCCTGATTCGTAGGTCATCATCCAGTTGGTCACAACGCTCGGGTTGCCTTGGATTTTTTTTCCAAGTATGGAACGTTCCTTTGTTTTTTGTTCTTGCGCCGATAGATCGACCCTCTTGCATGGGCACACGGAGACACTAATTTACTGTAACGATAAAAGATCCGTCCAGCACGCGTCGTGTTGCGCGTGCTTTGGCGTCCTCCTACTGGAAGCTTTAAACGTTAAGCTCCGCACACAACAAAGCGGAACGGCTTTGTCGTGTCGGCAACAACAACAACAGCGATAGCATCAACCGCGCGCCGTTTGTGGCGTCCTGCTCAAACCCGCAAGAGACTCTTGAGATCCTGGAAGAACATCCTGACTATATGGACCTGCCTGCAGAGCGCTCTTAGTCCCGAATACAGTAGATTAGTGCCCCTTCCACGGATGCGCGCACGTCGCTGCTCGCTCGCTTTTTTTCTGCCAACAGAGCAACCCTCAGATGTACGCGGACTCCTACAAGAGGAGCAAGCTGAGGAAGAACTCCATGGCGAAGGTGGGTTCGTTAAAGGTTCCCCGCGGCGAGTCCGGCTTGTGATAATTTCCCGATCAATGCGCAGCATGACGTCACGTTGCGTAACCGTTGACACAACGATCACAAAGGCCAGGTAGTGATAGCATCATTCCGGCGGTTGAAAGCACAAACCACGACGACTACTAAGAGCATTCCTTGTGGCATGACAGCACTCTGCTGAGTAACGGCATGGCAGCACTCTGCTGGATGTGGCATGAGCGAGCTGGGCGCGCGCGAGTGTAGTATTTCACTCATTCGTAAGTGGCTTTGGACCGTCCTAACTCCCACGTGTTTCCTGAAAGCAAGTGATCAATCCCCCTATTTCTTTGTCTTCTCGAAACAGCTGGAGAGTCTCATGATTCCCCCCGAGGGGTCAGAGCCGCTCAAGTTCAAGTCTGTCTTCGCGGCATCCCCGCCCCTGCAAGCCAGGGCGTGCATGGAGAGGGCGGTGATCCAGGTGAGCTCAAGAGAAGCTATGTTATATTTACTCGTTTAGTCGGCGATAGTATTCATTGGCTTCGAAGTTGCTTACCCTCGGAGGGAAGGGTTCAAAACGCCCCCAAGCGGTGATTTGAGAACGCGTTTTTCGAGGGGAATGAAGGGAGAACTTGCGCAAGAGGCGAAATGATGGGGTTCGTCGTGTTTGAGCCGTACGTGCGCGCTGTAAAGTACGGTAAGCAGCAAGAGAGCACTCTCGCTTTTTACGAGAGACGGGAATGGCCTTGTTTACTCCGGTGCCATCTCTTGGGCGCACACACGAACACGCCGTAACGATTGTACAGTATCATGTTGTTTTACTTCCCAAAAGTGTTGCTATTTGGTCAAACGGTGATGTAGCGCAGTCAACGCTTTTTCGAGCAGTTCACATTCATTCATGAGCTCGCTCCCTTGGTCTGGGCGTTTCCATGTCGTGGGATCCCCTCTGGCGTTGAACACCGTCATTTGTTGGGGCTGCGTGCACTTGTTTTGAGTTCGAACTTCACAATAGAGGGTAAGTACAGGCAAGGCGAGCACAATAGGAGATAAATCACTGTGCTGGCGTTTCGTGTATTTCCTCGATGAATTCTGTCCGCCGTCGTGGAATCATTGACTCAGAAAAACATAACGCTGAAACGCTTCACCCGTGGGGATACACGAGTGTTGCTCTCACTACAGGTCGGCGGATGGGGCCCAAATTGTTGTTGTTGTTACGCCGTTAGTTTCCACGTTAACGTTGCGATCCCTTGTTCAGGGTACCTCTCCTTTCCGTAGTACTTCTTTCCGTGGTCATGGACTTGGCCCACGCTACTAACAGTTGGGTGCGCCTTGTCTCCCGTACGCCGCCGCCGCTGCTGACCCTGAAAAACCAGTACTGGCGTAACCCAAACTACAACTGGATGCGGATGCAGCTCGCCATCCTCATAGCCGTCATTTTCGGCAGCAGCTTCATCGACGCGGGTGAGGCTGCGTTCTAGAATTCCTCGCTGACATCGTTCCTGTTTTCCTTTTCCACCTGCTTTTCTTTCCCCTGTGGTTCCTCAGGGACTTTGAGTTATACAGCAGTTGTGGCCCGCAAGTAAGAAAAAACGTATGACAGTTAAGAAAATGAGGCCGGGGCTTTCGCGAAAAATAAGAAAACTCGACTAATAAGGCCTCCGCCTTCGGGCTCTACTCTAAACTCTACATAATGACCGTTATCGACGAAGAAGTTGAGCCTCGCCCCGAAGTTGGCGTTTTCTTTTTCGCAGGCCGCACTACATTTTAGGCGGAGCACTGTAGGATGTTGTGATTTATTTCGTCAACCAGTAAACCCCAGTTTGTTCCGCTTACAGAAACAAGCTCTCCCTTTCTTATTCGCGAGCCGCAACTGTAGTTTTGGCGGGATTAGTTACGGAGATAGCCCCCGGTTTCTCGGGTGCATATCTTGCCACATCAACACGATGCACACCGGACATGCCCCACGCCCCGCTGTCGCGCGCGTTCGTCTGCGCGGGCAGACATTGAGACGGAGTCCGACTTGGCTTCCCGACTGGCGGTGATATTCATGTCCACCATGTTTGTGGGGGTCATTTGCCTCCAAACGGCCATCCCCGCCGGTGCCAAAGAGCGCATCGTCTTCTACAGGGAGCAGGTGAACCACTGTTTTAGCCGAACGATTTACGTAACTGTTTGGCGGGTTCGTTGTATCACATACCCACTTCCGCTGCCTTCGTGGCGCGGCGTGCTGCGCTTGTAAATGAGTTTGTTGTACTGTCGTTGTTGTCGTTGTCGTTGTTAATGTTGTTGTTGTTGTTGTCGACAAGCGTTCGACGTTCTTTGGCCCCGTTAACATCCCATGAGAGACAACTTCAGTCAGCATATTCAGGGTAGACTCTTTGACGACACCGGTAGCTCGATGATCATTGCGAGCCGGCGGTCCCAGTCGGCAGCAAGAGGACACCTTGGCAAGATGCGCAGCAGCCATGCTTTCATATTTTGTTTGTTGTGAAATCGCTAACCCCCCTACCTAGCCATAAACAGCTCAAGAGCGATTGATGGCATCTGTCTCCCAGCTTCGTTTCATCATTTTTGCGCGCTTGATGTGTTCCTCAAACCTACAGTTCTGATATTTTCTCGATCCAGCGCTTCACAGCAATCATCCCGCGCACCACCCTGCGACCTTCCCCGCCACACGGTGTTTGAGAACAGGCCGCCAACATGTACAGCGTGCGTTCGTACGCCATCGGATACGCGGTAGCGGAGCTGCCGTACATCCTCTTCATCTCGCTGGCCTTCTGCTCGATCTTCTACTGGATCACGGGCCTAGCCGACTCGGCCGACCAATTCTTCATGTACTGGTGAGGAGACGACCAGTAAGCTAGCCGTAACCAACGTCTCTCTCTAACCAACGTCTCTCTCAAGCGGTCATGATATATACTAGCTCGGGGTCGGTAGCCCCCCGACCTCATGTCTTTTTTTTTTTTTTACCACAGCAGCTTCACAAGCGCACATTGCCGCAGGGGCTTGGCAACCGCAAGTTACCACGTCTCTCAAGCGTTCATAATATCGTGGGGGTTCGTTGTATCGACATGTACGCCATGAAGGGGTTACACAGTGGTAAACCGCTCGGAATCCGATTGTATTTTGAGACACCATTGTCCGATGACCAAGCGCAAAGGGAGTGTGTGCGCAGTGCCGTTTAGTATATGGGTGCCGCGCGCTCGCACATGGCTTGCTCATTTCCGTGAGGAACTCAACCCTACTCTTTAGATGTTTTTTCTAGGCACGTTCACGCCCTCTTTCGGTATTTTCACTGCACGACGCACTCCTCTGTTGCTGCGGTCTCCTCGCGAATGAAACCAGGCTCTACTTCCTTCTGTGGACGATGTTCATGGTCTTCACAGGAATGATGTTCGTGATGGTAAGGCTGCGTTCCCGTTTCGAGAACAGACAACATGCAGCTTGTGTGTTTGAAATATACATTTGTTTTCTTCACCAACGTCGGGGCTGTTCGCACGTGGTACGTATTAGTTGAGGAATTGGATGCCATGCTTCTGCTACGATTGAAGATTCTTGCCACTACGTTGTAGTCAAGAGAGGTAGACTCTGTCTTCAAGGTCGTTGCCTTCAGTACCAATTAACTTTTTCCTGGCACATGACGTACCAGCGCTGCATGTTGCGACGAATATGTCGGCCGTCGAGCTCCCGAGTTATCTCTTTGCACATTGATTTGCTTCCCACTGACGCTGGGGTGTGGAGTATTGTCTTCGAAGCGCCAGCGCTACTGCACGTGTTGCGAAGCGTTTCTAGGCCGTCGAGCTCTCTAATTACCTCTTCACGCACGCTATTTATTTGTATCCCGCTGACATTTGGGTATGTTGTCGCGGTTCATGGGAACGTTGCCGTGTGTTTTTGGTCAAACTCGTCCTTCGAGGCGACACAGTGTCTTCGCACCTATGCATACGGCACGATGTTTGCGTTCTGCCTCTAGGTTTGTGGGCCAGATATTGAGGCGCGAGTTGTTCCAGTCCACCCCCTGTTTTCACCCAGATTGTGTGGTGCCATAACATTGATTCACATGCGCAGCGTAGGTGACACAAGATACCACACCCCCTGGACCGATTGTCAAAGCTCCAGCCCCACGACGAAAAGGGTGCTAAATGAAACCATAATTTTGGAAAGCTCTCGACGATCGTCGCCGTTTTCGGCGGTGCCCCTCTTTGTCTTGAGGAGAAATCGAGCTTTGAGAATCGATCGGGGGCGTGTGGTGCCTTTAACGGGACCGATGGCAGACGAGCTGCTTGTTCCCCTTGCCGACTGATGCACATTCGCTGTCCAGACGGCAGCAGGGCTTTGAATGCTATATCACAGACGAGCTGCTTGCGCCCACTGCCGTGTTCCCTGTTCAGACGGCAACATTACTTTGAGCGCCAAAAACGGAACGTTCGTGTTGCTTTCGCAGGTTCTGCCGAACACCCAGGTGGCGCAGACCCTGGCTGGCGCCCTGTCTTCCATGTTCAGCCTCTTCGCCGGCTTCCTCATCAGCCCCGCCAAGATTCCTGATCCGTGGCTTTTCGCCTTCTACCTGAACCCTTTGCACTATGTCGTCGAGGTGAGCAGCCATGCATTCGGTATCGCTCGGTTACTGCTTCTGAGGATCACTGCAGGCATTCCCGATGACACACCAAACCACTTCTCAAAGTCGACAACGGGGAGTCCAACAAAGTCTTCATTTACATCTGCCTGTGCTGTACATCACCCACCAGTGTTTTGTTTTGCACGCAGCAACTCGACCTCTACCCGAATCCTACCCCCAGTTCCTTTTTTTTTTTTTTATTGGCGTATTTTTTATATGATCTGGGTACCGTGGCACTACGCTTGCTTCCAACCATGTCCGCTTCGCTCTGAATTCCATTGCATTCCATTGGATTCCATCTGGTGGAAATCGTCACGAAGTACTAAGCGCTCGACTTGCTGCTCCCCAACGTTTTCCCGCCAACGCTGCTGCTGCCTGCCTTTCCATGGTGCATGTCGCGGAATCTGCCACTCTTCGTTTGCACCCCCTCGGGGGACTCAATGGCCATCGATGTGCCAACGTTGACGCCAACGACGAAACTTTCGCGTGGCGGCACTTGGACTTGACCCGCCGCACTACCCCTGGGCGAAACGTCCTCCGTTGACAACGTCCACATCACTGTGGGAACGAAGGGCATGGTGAGAAGTGAAATATTGAGGCCTTTGATTGTCCCCGCTGCTCCTGCTGTTGCGAGTTCAAGGATGCAGATTGACACAGCTTGGTCTTCCTGTAGGAAATGACGAGAAACGAAGCCCGGCGTCGCTTGAATGACCTTGCAAAACCACAACGTGCGCCCTAAAGCTGGTGTCAGCGAGACGTTGGCCTATCCGAATCGAAACAGAGAAATTGTTTGGGCTGTTCGAGACTGACTGTTGCTGCTCTGCTCCTTCACGTTGTTTTCGTTTTTTTCCATACATGTCAGCGGGAAATTCGGCCTATCCGAATCGAACACAGATAATAAAATTCTGGGCTCTCCGAACCTGGCTATTGTTACGCTCACCTCCTTCATGCTGTTTTTGTTTTTCTTGTTATGACACAAACGAATGCATCTCTACGTATTAAATATCGTCTAAGGTCGGTTGACAATGAATCCACGGCGTCAGCGAAGACTTCCTGTATTCATGTTTTGTTCTTTTATTACCCCACGCGATCGCACAGAGCACGACCCAGTACCGCGGCGACGACACGCCGATCACGACGGCACTCGGTACATCGACAGAGGCAGAAGACTTCGTGAACGACTTCTTCGGCGGCGAGTACGAGTACAAAAACCGTTGGTGAGTAACACCAGGGGAGCCGAATAGTCCATGCCTTTTCGTGGTGCGTGTTTGCTCTGCTTGCTTGTCATCCAGAAATCCCAGAAAAGTAAGTTATAGAAGCACACGTGTAATGACCCGAAATATGTTTCATTTCATTAAACTTCTTGTTGTATCCATCTTCGTTGGTAACGTTTGTTGCTAAAACAACAAGTCAACTAGAAGAAATTGGTGCCGAGTGCAGGTTGGAAATTTCCTTTTGCCTTGACCGAAAGGAAGGTTGGTCTCTCCAACGAATATATTCTCAATACGACCACGATCTCATGGCATTTTTCCACACTTGCTTGTGTTCAACCAACATCGCTTGTGAAGAGTTGACCAATCGTCAACACGCCAGGCCCAACGTGGTTGTGAAAGCTAGAGCTTAGACATTGACAAGCAAGAGATACAAGCAAGGAGCAGAAACTTGTCTTCTGTTTTAGATAAAGAATGTTAAGCGTCAGTAGTTGTACCAAGGTGAGAGAGAAGGCGCAAATTGGTACAAGCACCACACTGACGAGATGTTCAGCGACTTCATAAACTCGAGGCTGACGGTGACGAGGAAACCGCCAAGTGAGGCTCGGGTTTACGGGACACGTGGAATCCCATGAAGATGCTTTCAATCACGACGGTACGACAAGTGTTCCGCACGTCCTCCCCCCGTCACGCCGCTTGAGACCGCCCCGGCAAATCATCTCATGCTCGGAAACTAACTGTGTTGTTCCGTTCTCTGGAAGGTTCGACGTGATGGGACTCGTCATCTTCATTCTCGCCGTACGCATGGGCTACCTGTACGCACTCAAGAACGTCAGGCACCTCAACCGCTAGAAGAATACGGTGTGATATGGGAGAGAAGAACACATACATACACGCAGCTTAGGGATTAGATGGGTAACGCTTTTAACGTGTGCAGCACTGTGAGGGTGGGGAGGGGCGTAGCATCAACGCGCATCACTGGGGGTCCTAAAGTAGTCGGGGGCGCAGAGAAAACGGCAGTGCTGCGGGTGGTGACGAAAGTGTTGTTTAGCGAAAACCAAGGACCCCGACACTTGGGGTCCCCGATTCGAGACGCGTGATATTCGGCCGAATCTCGACGAGTCACGTCTCTACAGTATCGTTTTCGGGATTTGTCTAGTAGCATTGTGTGTTTTTCGATTGGTTCAGGAACCTTTACTTGTTCGCGAGTGTGGGAGCTTGGACTCGTAGCAGTAAGATAGAAGTAGTTCGTTTCTATTTGCTCGTGTTCACCGAAGAAGAGGCGCGAGCTGCACAATACGGTATAAGGATCTTAGTCTTACGTTAGTTAGGGGGTCGGATTGATGTCGGTCTATCAGGTCAGGACGCACGCGGCACACATACGCTGAGCAGGCAAGCGAACTCTATTTTACATTTTACATTTACTGCATGTCGATTTCGGGGGTGGCGGTTTTCTGTGGGGGATTTCGAGCTGGGCTAGTAGCACACATAGCAGCGTTTGTTTCCCGTCGACCGCTGGGGGCGAGTACGTAGCACTTGGGATGGCGTGAAGGAGGCGTTGACACGGTAGTGCCAAGGAATTCGAAATTTACTCGCGCCGGAGAGTGCATATCAGCGCATCGGGGAAACAAATGTTGGTTGTAGACATAATTTAGTGTGTGTCGCGTGGCGGGCACTCTTGCTCTATTATAGCTCTCCCGTACATCTTTTGATTGAGGCGTGGTTGTTGCAATCTATTTTCGGGACTGCAACGGCCATGGGTGTGCTGCTGTAGGTTGTTGGGTTTCATGTACTCCGGAGTAAGAGTTTTTATCTCTGTGCATGTAGTCAATGTTGTCGGTCGGACGAGTTTTCGACGCGTTCTTTGTCTATTGGTCCAGTCCTCTCAAACATGCGAACCCGCGGGAAACAATTTACCGCGCAAAGCCATCAATTCGTCCGGGTCATTCCACCCGTACTCAACTCAAAGAACATGGTATATCAACACAGAGGACACACCGGCCCTGTGTTTTTGCCGTTGGAACCAGTTGGCAAAAAAATGCATGTTTTATGCAGCGTGCGTGTACTGCGTACGTGCAGTGTACAGCAGTTATCCCGTACACGCCATTGTTGGTCTACTACTACAGTCTACTTTAGATCTAGTCTCTCCTTGAAGGGAAAAAAGCGATCTAGAGCCCACTTCCAGCCGCATAGAGGGGGCCAATCGCATGGTACTTGTACTAGAAGAGGTGATGTTCACGCACGTACTTTGAGCGGGTGTTCCCTTGATGGGTGTGTAAAACCGTTTGTTTGTAACTACCGTACCGTGACCGGCACATCAACTTGGAGCTTGGGCTCCGATGTAATGGGTACGGGGTGTTGATATTTCCCGAGCCTAGTGCTGCTGGGCAAGCATGGCTGACCAAGCACGGCTGACTGACCAGGTTGACAAGAATGAAGAAATGGTGACAGTCGTTTATTTGGTTACCCTCGTAGTCAAGCAACAGGGAAAGAGAGAGCACCAGGTGCCACACAAACACCGAAGCGCCCCAGCAAACAGTCGCAACAATTCCACCGTCGTAAAGACGCATATCCGCAACTCGGACATGTGCGTGTTGCTTCATCACAGGAAGGCTGAGAGGTGCCTGTCAACGGGCCAAGTTGTGTCGTAGGGACCACAGTGCATGTGCTAGTTTCGCATCAAAATGAACGCCACGATATGAGATACCGAATGAACCTCACACCCGTTCGCTGCGACGACGGAAGTGCACCAGAATATCAACATCCAAGGAACTCCAGCCAACACGTGCAAATGATACATGAAGCCTCATTGCTCACGGAGAAAGAAAACTAGCACACATATACAAGTTATAGCCTAAAACTGAGCGTTTGGCGTATCTTTTCGTGATGCAGCGCCTCCGCACAGATACAGCCGTCCCCGCATATGACGTTCTTCTTGTCCATTAGTACCATCTCTGTCGCTTGTTGGTCTGGAAATATGCCGGGGAAGGCCAAAGGGTGGCGGGGAGGGGTCACGTACAAAGCGTGTTCTCGCTCGAGATAATGTCCTTCGTGGGCGAGCTCGTAACAACACACAGGAGCGCTCACGTTGTTGGGTGCTCGTGCCTTGAAAGCAGCGGGGCGTGAATGATCAGAACTCTTGCGGGGCGCCAATGTATCGGATGGATGGGGGGGCTTAAAAATCGCAAACAATCGCATGGGTGACTTACCCAGCTGTTGACCAACGAAAAAGTGACGGCCGGAACCCGATCATCGCGGCAATGATCGCTGACTCACGAACCTTGCTCCCACCAACCGATATTATTGAAAGACTCCATGAGCGCACGGGACGTTGGCCTGTTGTCCGTATCCCCGGCCCAGCATTTCTTCGCGAGATCAAACCCATCAGCTTCGGCATCATCAGGGAACTTTGGTCTGTCTCCCCGCAAAACCGAGCACATGAGATCCAGAGGGCGCGTCTTGTTCGCCCACGGCAGCCCCGTCGTGGTGATTTCTCACACCGCCACTCCGAAGCTGTAAACGTCGCTCTTGTAGGTACTCATGCTGCCGTTTAGAACCTAGAGGCATGAAGAACCATGCCCCCCATTTTTGTCAGCGGCAATGCTGTCAGGGACACGGGTGCAATGGCACACGGGCCATATGGGCCATTCCCGTAAACATGGACAGTGTGAGGGCTTCGAAGCCGAGCCATGGCGTCCAGCTCTTTGTAAAACGCCTTGCGTTGGCGTGCTTCGCTCCGGGTCAACGGTGCCGGCTCGCCCGCATCGTCGTCGTCAATTCCCGCGAGAACATGCTTGATGGGTAGCACCTGGGGTCGCAAGGCAAACGATGGTTAAGAAGGGGAGCCACTTCATTCCATCTAGTCGGGGCGCAAGCAGTTCAAAGCGAGTTCACCTGTCCTTCCGTGTTCATGGTGGACATGTGGTGGAGAATGTGCGGCTTACAAGAGCTGCGAACGCTGCAGACTTCAAACGACTACCAAGAGTTCAGGAAAGGAAGCGGTGGAAACGAGGCATTCACCATTGGGAAGTAGGAGGACGGTCGGAGAGGGTTGAGGTGGTGTATTTTTTCGGTTCACGCCACGCAAATGATGAGTGAGTCCGGAAATACCAGCGGTGCACCCCCAAAAAATAACGAGGGGGCACAATAGCCCGGAGCTCGGCAAACACAGGAGAGGTATCTCGACCTCTCTGAGCGCGAGTTGCTGAGAGCCAACGTGGCAAAATGTATATTTCACTAATCGGCCATGGAATGATGAAGCAGCCCCACATCCGTGCCTTGCACGCAACGTTTCGACCGAGGTAGTCGCCGATGTAGACCGCGCCGAAACCACCTCGCCCCAGCAGCTCGTCCGAGATCACGACTGCGTCCTTACGAATTTCGTCCTGGTCAAGCTTACGCTGTCGCCTCGCGCGGCGGCTTTCAGCTCAGCGGCGGCTTTCAGCCGCCGAATCTGCCGGGTCAAAACCAACGGTTTGGGTAGCGTGCGAAAGACGACGTCCATCCGCCAATCAACCACAGATTCGTTGGGAGGGATACTATATCCCACGATTTCCAAGAAGCACCCCAGAAAGGTGTCTGGCGACTGAAAAGAGCTCTAGGTGTGCCTCGTGGGTGCGGTGGAAATCACCAGGTGAGACCGATCATGCTTTCTTCGTGCCAATCTTGCCCGGTCAATCCTGGGCCGCTCCCTTCCGGTCCGGTTCGCAGCCCTCCGACAATGCGCGCCTGCATCCCAAACTGCACCAAGAGTTTGGTAATCGGCCGTGGGTTACTATGGGAGGCAGCGGTTGTTCGAACACGGCGATTGTTCAGCAAAAGAACGGTAGGGCGTGATCTTGTATTGGTTGTGGGGGACCGTCAAGAAGGACATCGACAAACAAACCCTCTGATGAAGTGAAAACCGCCATTGGGACGTCTGGTCGCACGGCAAAGCTGCTGCTCCCAATAACGTCGCACAAGTTGCGAGCATCGCACACGTCACGAAAATACTCCAGATCAAACCCACGCCCGCCCCCCCCCCATTTTGAAAGAACCCCCGTGCCCACTGCAAACGAGCAAGCAACACTAAATAGGCGCGCCAATACCACCCCAGCATCACAATCCTCACATTCGAGCGCAAGACAGCACTGTCGATGGCTGCGTTCGCCTCCTCTTCGCGGCGCTTAAAGATGGACGACACAAGGACCTCAATATGTTGTGATGAGGTCCGTCAGACCGGGGATAGCCTCGCGAAAGTCTTCGAAAACATGGCACTCTGCCCCGCCCTTCGAGTCACCACCCTGGCACGCAGGGTTGCGAGAGAGGTACCGTGACACATGTGGAATATCTTGAAGTGATGATGTACACTCCATTCCCGTAAAGCTTTCAAGTTATACAGTAGTAGTACGGTCGAAACACGAAATCGAAAGTGGAAGATACAACCAACCTACGAGCACCAAACAAAACAGTAAAACGGCCTTCAATCCCGCCATCTCACCTCACCAAACACCTCGACTGCACTCTCAAGCAAGGTGATAATCGAGCGGCATTTGCCAGCCTCTCGTCGATCGTTCTAGCGTTGTCACGGCTGTTGGACACTGGCTTGACAATGGTTGCCATCAACGTTGCTGCCTCGCTGACCCCCGGAACCGAGCTCCTTCTTCGTGACCCCCATCGTTGCAGAAACCACACCACAAACGCCTGACGATGAGCCTTGATCCGTTTCTGAAGGAGCTCCCCCGGCACTGGCACTCACAGAGGACTTCGGACTGCAAGAAAACACACACGCACACACAACCTGACGGTTAACGCTACACTGGTGGCCAGAGGGGCAGGTTGGGCACGAACTACAACCTGGGGGGGGAGGTTGGGAGGCCGAGTTCGACCTTGAACCCATTTTTTCTTCAGGCTTGCAGCCCGCCGTGTTGATTGCAATAACGCCACTATCCAAGATGCGGGATACCTTGCACGCTTTGGGCTGCAACCTCCCTACAACCTCCACCCCCCCAGGTTGTAGTTGGTGCCCCAACCTACGCACAACCTGCCTCTGGCCACCCGTGTAAACAAATTGCAGTTGAAAAGCCAGTGACCCCAGCAACGTGGATTTCAAGCTCGACTACTCTGTACAGCAGTACGGGCCCGCAATCAAGAAAAATTCCGTTGAGAAAAAAAGGCTCAACTTTTTACGAAAAATAAGAAAATAGGACTAAGAAACACAGCTCAATCTCGGCCACAACATACGAAACGTCCCAATAAGAAACATGATTATGCGTTACCCCCCAATACATGAGAAACAAGGGTTGCTGGGGGAGCGTATGAAATTAAAAACGTTCCGCTGCTGCTCCTTCCGTGCTCCTACTCCCCCCGTACCTAGCTGGAGAGTGATTATTGGCGCTGCCCCCCCCACCTCCTCGCTATTTAGCTACTCGACGCCTCCGCGGGCTGCTTTACCCACTGCTGCATGCATGTTTGGTGTTGCTGTATGCATTGTCTTAGCCAGAAATTAAAGAAAATGAGAAAAAACAGCATCAGGAGGATGCGACAGTCCAAAGGAATAAGACATGCCTTCAAGAAAATGGACGACTTTGGCTGGTCCTTCGACGCAAAGTAAGGGATTGAGCCTCGTCCGGATTTTGACATTTCTTATCTCCGGGCCCGTACTGTAGTACAAAGTGCTGCATACAGAAGCCGAAATCAAAACATTAGACTAGTCAGCGCTCAAAGTTAGTCGTGGGGTTCGTGAGCCCCGTCACTTTCACTTCCGAGGAGGACGACTCCTCTTGCCAGCGCTACTATCCGTCCAATCTTTATTTCGCTTCATATCACTCGCCACTCACGTCCTGCAGAATGTTCCAGGGTCCACGAACCCTTCCGTCACCCATACTCTGGCCGAGAGTATCCATGGTCTCAGGAAAAAAACACTTCAAAGTGTCCAGCCTGGGTCTCGAGCCCACGACTAACAATTAAAGAAGCCGAAATCACACCACGCTGACTAGTCTAATGGTTTGATTTCGGCTTCTTTATGCACCTCCCAGTCATGGGCTCAGCAACAGATCGTATGGACGAAAGCACCGCAAGTGTGCAATCGCAACCGGCATGTAGGGGACCAACGGAGCGCGACAACGCGATTCCTGAGCAACTTAGGCAAGGACGTGTGATCGACCCAACATGCACAGTGCATACTCAGAAAAAGTATACGGCCACAGCCGAGTCACCATGGAAAGAGCAAAGACAATCGTACGAGGAACATTGCTGGCACTTTCCGAAAAAGGAAGGGTTTTCCATTGACGTAGAGACACTTGGATTGGCCAAGCAGGTAGTTGTGAGGGCAACGTTTGCCCGTTGCGACGGTGGTGGCACTCTCGTGCTCTCAATAGAAACTACACCGACAACCCGCGACTTGCCCATACCGACCGTGCAACACACTCTCACAACGTTCTCTCCGAGAGGTCGCACTTCCACTCCCTTTTAGAAAACTAACATGAGCGATCGACGGCGACGATCCACGGAGCGACGGCGGCGCGATCGACGATG